GAGATAGGATTGTTGTGAATAAGTCACTGTTGTGGTTTAAACCCAGCCAGCAACTCAGCACCACACAGCCACTCGCTCATTTCCCCCCCACACCCAGTGGGATGGGGGAAGAGAATCAGGGAAAAAAAAGAAGTAAAACTCGTGGGTTGAGATAAAGACAGTTTAATAGGACAGAAAGAAGAAAATAATAACAATTATAATGATGGTAATAATAATTAAAAAATGGCAATAATAACAATAAAAGGATTGGAATATACAAAACAAGTGATGCACAGTGCAATTGCTCACCCCCCGACAACCAATGCCCAGTTAGTTCCGAAGCTGCAATTCACCCCCCCCACGCCAACTCCCCCCAGTTTATATACTGGGCATGATGTCACATGGTATGGAATATCCCTTTGGCCAATTTGGGTCAGCTGTCCTGGCTGTGTCCCCTCCCAAATTCTTGTGCCCCTCCAGCCTTCTTGCTGTCTGGGCATCAGAAGCTGAAAAACCCTTGACTTAGTCTAAACACTACTCAGTGACAAATGAAAACATCAGTGTGTTATCACCATTCTTCTGAGACTGAACCCAAACCACAGCACTGTACCAGCTACTAGGAAGAAAATCCACTCTATCCCAGCCAAAACCAGGACAGGCATCAAAAATGGCTTTTTCCTTACATGTTACTTCAGCTTCTACTTAATCTGGTGAGTCCAGGCATTCACACGCTCTTTTGAAACTATAGCGCTCTTTGTGTTTTTATATTCCTCATGAGTTAGGCTTAGTACCTTCAGTTTCTATAATTTTGTTTTACAGTGGAGAGGGAGGTAAGGCCTTTTGCATATTTCAGTGGCAAGAGCTAAACTAAGCAGCATGTGAGTATTCTGGTGTGTCCCAGTTATCTCAACCAAGGACCTGTCCGCTGTGCCCATCTACCTTCTGAGCCCATCCCTGAGGAAGGCCGTCAGAGGAAGGCTGATGTGCATCTGGGTTTCACCCTGACAGGGAACCAGGACATGATGGGCATTCCCGTCTGGCCTCAAGAGCTCAAACGTGCTCCCAGGACCTCCACTTTGGACTCAGCCTCTGAGCCTGAGGCTTAGGTATCTCCTAGATGAGCAGCGCAAACACAAAGCTAGTCATGGTTGTTTGAAATTCACTGTGTCTTTTTTACACTATGTATATACTGTAAAGAGCAAAAGACAGTATCAAGCCCAAAGAACTCTTGCCACCTAGGTGCATAAGAAACAGCACTTTCTCTTGGGCATTTCGCAGCCTTCGTCCTTGACTTGCTATGCGTGTACAGAAATGAGAATAATAATTAGGCCTATTTAATGCTGATTTATTTTCTACTGCCAAACCAATCTGATGGTTTATTCCAGGAGCGCTCTCAGAATATCCCTCAGAATTTGTAATAGGGATCTTAGACCTTCCTTATATCTTTACATGGGAGAATTGATAACACAGTCCTGAAATATGATGTTAATATGTTTGCTGTTCTACACAACTATTTTTAATATCACACAGATTTGTTTTTTTCCAATACTTGCAACTCAGTTTTTCATATCCCTTCCATGTTCCTGCTTGAAAACAGAGAGGGGAAAGTCACAAAATATTAGAAAGCACCCATTTAATATGCCTTTAAGTATGGGAGGCTGCAGGAGGAGGAAATTAAGAAGTTGTCACCCTGAAATGAGAAAAAAGCCAAGTGACAGTTGCATTGTAAAAACATTAAGGAAAGCCCCTGCTTATTACAGTCAATCCCAGTCCTTTCAAATGACAAACCAGTTAAAGAATTTCTAGGTAGGCTAACTGCTTTCTCTGGTATTTTAGAAAGTGGAAGAAAACAGAAGGTAAGGCATATGTTGTGTTAAGAGAAATTTTGAGATTGAAGGTGTGATGGCACTTAAGACACTGACAGCTGCAGTGGTCATAACTTAAAATGTCTTCGCAAATACTAAAATCATAGAATCAAAATTGTACGGTGGTATGGAACAGCACTGCTCAGAAAGCATACCATGTTTTGAAAGATCTTGGCTGTTTTACAAATTATTTTTCTCATCTGTAACGGCTGCAAATTATAAAGCTATGTTTCTACTTTCTATGTCTAGTTAGCATATTCATCGTGCATATAATTTTTAACACTCCACAGTGCTGTCCTGATATTACCAGGAACAAAGAACATTAGATATTTAAAAACACAAAGGAGTCCACCTGATCTAATAAGTTTGACCATTTACATTCAAGTTGGTCTCAGTACCTTTTTTTTCTTACCACAGTCCACTATTGATTTCATCTCTGGAAAGAGACCAACCAATGTTCTGAATTCTTCGCTTCAGCGGCCCTTAGAATTTATCCATGTTTAACCCTTCCATTAAATAATGCTGCTTAAATTCCTTTATAGTTTTCAAATTGGTAGAAGAACTGTTTTCTGCTCTATTTGCTAATGAAACTAAATCCTCTGTTTGGCCTTCGCAGTTTTGTTGGACATTAGGCTGATGGGTTTACTGGGGTATGTTTTGAGCCTTGCTATATTCATAAAATCTTCCTGAATTTGCTGGCTACTGTATGCATCTGCTCCATTGGTATTTCTATCCCGATTCTCCATACTGTTCTTCAACAGCTTTCTGGATGATCTTTTCAATTAGAGCACAGTCTTGAGATTTTATTTTCCCAAGAAGAATTATGTAACATTTATACTGAGTCATATTTGCCATCTGCTGATCCAACCACATAAACAATACAAATTCTTAAAACCTGAGTTTTCTTTAGTATCTGCTTCTAATCTGATTTTTCACAAATGCGCAGGTTTATGCACATACCCCTGCCTTGCAGTTAGCTCTTCACAGAATACTGGCACCTCTTCAGAGACTCTCAGCAAACGTGAAGAAATCTACTCATGCAAAGGAGACATGTGAGAAGGTATTTATCAGGCAATGCATGTGATCACATACAAAAATCAAACGCAAGGCAGAAATAAAGGGACATTATGTCTGCCTTAACAGAGGACATCAAGAAGCTTCAGAATGCAGGGCTATTCTTAGTTTATGGCTAACTTCTTTGGAACTAGTTAATGCTCAAGTGGCTGGTAACAAGGTACGCAAGCTTCTACTCCAGCTTTAAATTACTGTTTTCCACTGTGACTCTGCTGTGACTAAGGACTTTTAAACTGTAAATCCTAATTCGTGTGATTATACATTTATTTATTTAAACTATAATGAAACACTTGTGATCACAGAATCAGACCTTAAAATTGCTATTTGTATCAGACTCTTTCAACAAGAAAGGCCGTAGTATAGAGTCTCTCCGCCTAATGATTTTATGCCAGTGCTCAATTCTGTGTCCTGTTGACAACATTGGAGAAGACATCATTTCACATCCTGAAAGTGCCAAACTATGCAAATTACATTTTTAAGCTGAAAAATAGATACTGTTTTGTTGCTGTGGAACAGTAAGTCTCCAGGATGATAATTTTTTTCCTTGGTTAGAGAAAATCTGACCCCAGAAAGAAATTTCTATTGGTTTTTAAGAGATTAGAATTAGCTAAGAAAAACATGAGAACACCTGTAAAACTGTTACTGACAGGGACTAAACCCAATCATTTGTGGAATCAAGGATCTTCCCATTGACTTGAACGTACCAGAGGTCCGGAGTAATTAACGCTCTCGCTGAAAACATAACATTAAAATCCTGCCTACCACAACGTTATTTTGCCATTGCTGTGCTTTACATCTTGTGAGCACAGTTTATGGGAGAGTGCCGCTGATGTGAGTGGGGGAACAGTAAGGGGTCTTAACTTATTTGCCTGTTGTACCTATGGTTCTACCTACAGAAATTACTAAACTAAAACAGGAACATGGGGCTGTCATTTGGCTTTTCACGTATCCACGGTACCAAAAGGTGCATTAAACCAGGATGTGCCTATGAGTTGGCCAGCACTGATGATTTTCAGCACAGCCTGTAAGAAGCCGAAAGCCATAAGGAACGATTAATTTTGGTGCCCGGAAAAGTCATATGATTTCAGAAGGTTACACATTTGAAACCCATACCAGAACCAAAAGTACCAGAAGGGATGAGTGGATCTGACACCAAATATGTTCAGTTTCACCTCTCGTCCCTTGAAACACTAAAAAGCCACGATCCTGGCATCTGATGGCTGTCAGCAGTCCCGCCTGCCTGATCCACCGAGCCGGCAACTCGGTTTTGCTCCTGACCTCCGCGGGGCCCGGATTTTCCTTTTTGGCTCCGCCAGCTTTTGCCCAACGAACCGGGCTCCCGTCTCCGCTGCAGCGTGTGTGGCCACCCCCCCCCCCCGCGGCCCCGGGTGGGCGCCAACCCCTCTTCGGGGTCTCTCCTCACACACACGCGGAACGCCACGGTCCCCTCAACCCCACCCGCCGCTCGGGGCCGCGGTGTGTGTGTGGGGGGGATATGTGTGCGTGGGATATGTGTGCGTGTGCCCCTCAGCACCCCCCTCCCACTGCCCGCGCCCCCCAGGAGCCC